ACATACTAACTTCCGCAACAGCAGCGTGCTTCAAATAAACTTCTTCTTTCAACATGAATATCAACTGCTCGACCACTTTTAAGGGCCAATCAGTAAAATATGGAATCCTCATAATAAGACGGCTGTAACAGTTGAGAGCAATCTCTCTCTTCAAAACCAACGGGAGAGCTCTAAATAAACAATTTTGTTTCTCCACTTGATACAGTTTCGTCATGTTAAATTCGAAATACTGGGTTACTTTAGAACAAACTTTGTCAGGTAACTGACGACATTTTATCAAATTCAAAGTTATATCTTTATTGTTCATAAGCTCATCCTGCTGAAATGTTTCTCTACTTATACATGTAAAACATTCCATTAAACTCCACATGTAAAAAACATTAGCAATTATGTAAGCCAATAGAGAACACAGCTTGTCCAAATAGAACTTTTTCATAGTAAAACCGAAGTTAAAAAGCAATAAAGACTTGCAAACCCTAGCAAAGTCGAACGCGAAGAACTTCAGGTCTGTTGGAGGATTCTCTGCGGCATATTTTATTCTGATGACTAGGCCATAATATGAGTTCTCATCGACGTGGCCTTTATAAATTATATTTAAAAGACTAATAGTGTCGGAAAAGTTAATGAACTGCAGCATGGTGAACAGACCCAACAGTCCAATACGTAGGAGTCTTAAGAAGCATGTCACTTTGAACGAAGCTCTCTCTCGCGTCAAGAACGTTGATAATTCGAACACTCTGAACAGACTTATGACGCTGATCAATTTCAATGTACAGTTGAACTTATTTGATTTACACTGCATACAATCGATATCATTTCCATATCTAATAAACATTAGACACTGTATTGGCATGGCAGAAACCACGTGTATGAAGAGTTTCATAGAACAATAATGGACAATTGCCTTGTGAATGTCAAGAACGACTTTACGAGTCCTTTTATCGACGTATCCGGTCCTAATATTTATAAATAAATCGAATATAATCACACCTTCTAGAATAATAGCCATATAGTGGAAATGCAGTGAAAATTCTCCATATATAAGAGATGTGTTGTGATGGATTAAAACTTTGTATAGGCATACCACACACAGAATCCACACATCCCAAAAACTCCTGAAAGATTGATAATATATACTAATAATAATAATGCTAAGAATAAAGACCCAAAAGTCCTTATCCTGACCAAGCCAGACATTTAGGTCATCTATTAAAATAATAATAGGAGTAGGTAACTACAAAATTTACACTTTTTAATGCTGGGTGCATTTTCATTATGTTTAGCATAAGAAAATTTCATAAGTCTTCAAATAATTAGTGAGGTTTTAAAAATTACCTGAATTTGCTCAAAGGATGTATGCAACTTCTATATCTACGAAATTGTTTGGCCCTTTCTATTCTCATGGCATGTGAGCTATTGTAATATATTCTAGATCTATTATTACTATACGACAATAGGAACATATTGTACCACCAACGTTCAAACTTGGCCGTCCAAGAATTCCCTTTTATGTCGATTTCAAGAACATCTTTTTCCTGTATAATTGAGCAGGCGTGATCATAATGATTCGTGGAAATCATGTCTTCCATACATTTTCATAAAATACTAAACCTATTAGCAAACAATTAAAACATATATTTTCACTTAACATGTAAAAACAACACTGAAAAGTAATACATTAATCAATACATGGTTATCACATAATTTTTTTTGTTATTAAGTGTCACGAAGTAATCGCATTTTTTTTTTTAATTTTAGATTATACACTCATTCTTATTTAACGATTATTATTTAAATGTGTGAAGTATTTACTAGTATCCTAAACCTATAAAGCCATTTCTACAACGCTATAGTCGTGCCAGAACCAAATTTCCTCTCGGTCGTATACTTCTAAAATGATTAAAATAGAGCTGCTGTCAATAAATAATGTCAGCTGCAGTTCCGGTGGTGGGTTGAGGACCTATTCACTTGATGGCGTAGAAATTCATTAAATACAAGAATAAATTTATAGCGCCATCTAAAATTTCTATTACTCTATCTAGTAAATATTAAACACAGTTACGAGTTAACTTGAGGGAACTGAATACTATGTAATAATATTTGCCTTATTAATTCTTAAGCGCGCATTTTTTTAATGGATAAATATGCAATAGTGAAAATACCTACGTAGGTCTCTAGCAGGTTATGGATACCAGTGAAGTATCATAGGATAAGGTTGCAGTCGGGTCAGTTAGTCGCTAAACATGGTGAATTAGCAACTATGGATTCCAGATGGATATCAGAGGCCCGATTACTCAGACCTCAAAACAACTCCCTTAGAAGTATTCTGGTTAATTTATAGTGAATTCTCCATGACGGCTTGATTGAGTTACTGCAATCATTCTGCACTGTGGCCAGCTTTTAAAATTAGCATAAGCACATGCACCAGTCCATCATCTATAAAAATTATCAAATAGCTTGCCATTGACTGCCCAAACCGTTTGCATGTGTATCCATTCCCAATTATTTTCTTTTTGTTGGTGACCCTCGATTTTTCACTTATTTTCTTGAAATGCTATGAAGGTTACCTAAAAAATTTGATGAAGGAAGCAAAGGAAATTTTGGAAGGCAACAATAAGAAATGACCCCATTTATTGTAGTAAATTTTTTTAATAGGTTTTATTTTTTGTAACAAAATTTGTAAACAAAAACAAAGAAAAATTATTATTTTATTTTATACTAGCTGTTCAGGCAAACATTGTTTTGACTTAAAATAAAAAAAAATTTACGGGTGGACTACCCCTAACATTTAGGGGGATGAAAAATAGATGTTGGCCGATTCTCAGACCTATTCAATACGCTCACAAAATTTCATGAGAATCGATCAAGCCATTTCGGAGGATTATGGGAACGAAAACTGTGACACGAGAATTTTATATATAAGATTATCTCTTATAGAATTTTAATTTAATATTAAGGTTAGAATGTCACTTTTCTCATATGTTACGGAGCATTCTCTATTACAAGAACTGCATTGGGTTTTAACTCTTGGTAGAATTTTCTACCAATTTTTGTATTGATCACAATTAATTTCTGTTTAATAATCATCAAGTCCTTTGCATTGCTGGAAATTTTAGTGCACTATACTTCACAAAACCATCTTCACTCCCAACATGGGATACTACAAGTCGTCTTCCTGATGGCCGTTTTAGGCCTGTTGTAGGGCCTTTGAAAACAGTTGGGATGATTGCATGTGCAGTTGGTGTCCTTGTGCCTAGTCTCAGAATAGCCTGAAATGTTCAATAAATAAGAAAGTGGAAAGGACTTCTAAATAAAGACAAAATAATAAAAAAAAAAATATTTTATATACCTTCATTAATCCACATTTCATCTTGCTAAGAGACCTTCCACTGTTTCTTTGTCAATGTCGCCATAAATTTATGCACTCTTGGTTGATTAATGTACGGTGTTTCATTTTATGTACTTGAAGAGTATTTTGTAGAAAGAGTATTGTATATGTTTTTATAATAAATTGCCAGATAGTGTTTTAAATTTAAGTGAAGGCAAATTTAAGATACATGTAAAAAAAACACTTTGCTCTAAAGCTTATTATAAAATAAACGACTACTTAAATGACTACAATGTGTGGACTTAATTATAATTTTAACTTTTGTTATGAGGCATATAATTTTTCCCATTGACATGGATAATGTAATAACATTAAAGAAACTTATTATAAATGATTTTTTATAATTTGTAATGACATATTGTAAATTAAATAATGTAAATTTAATATTGTAATGGGTGAAAACTGTGATCGGTACAGCCTATGCTGTAAATAATATAATTGACGTAGTGGAGTAACCTGAAACAGTCATGCTCGCTATAAAGTTCAAACTTGTGGCGGCGTGGTGAGCCAGGTCGATGTGCTCCCTCTAATATGGTTGAGTACAATGATGGCTGGCTCATACGTCATACTCGTGAACGGGTGCTACTTGTGGGGACTGGTCTGTTCAGGTTGTGAACACTGATTAAATTTTTTGTTCTTTGCGATAGCATATGCTGGTGGTCACTCTATTCTCCCAAATTTGAATTTTAAAAACTATATTTATTGTAAACATGTTCCACTATTATTTGAAAAAGATACGAGCTGAGTTTCTTGTCAGTTCTTCTCATCTCGATATCATTCCGAACTGACGGTAGATTTGACATATCATAAGAGTCTGTAATAGACCTACATGAATAAAGATATTTTGAATTTGAATTTGAATTTGAGAGCTTCTTGAAAATAATGTAATTTCTGGATCTCCTTTAAGAGTCTAAAAATTTATAAAGAGTGTAGGTAACTGAACGAACTTAAATTTAGATCAAACATTATAATATGTACTTATACCATTAAATTCAATTATAAAAAGGAATTTTGACTTTGTTGTAGATCACTGCTATAGTCTATATGATTGTATTTTATATCTTCAAAATTGTCTACATGTATAATAATAGTAAGAAAAAATACATTACCTAAATGTTGGTGATTCCTTTCTGTAAAGGAATCTATGCACTTGGTGAAGTATAGCCGACTAAGCAAATTGTTTAATTTATTTTAAATCTGATTTATTAAAATACAAAGAAAAAGTCATGTTAGTAATAACATTTTTTTTGGTTTTCTTTTTTTCCGCCACAGGTCAACTTCCATTTAGATATCAGTGTGACATTAATGACATTGAAAAGTCACAAAACGTTTCCCATCGTTGAAGATCTATTTAGACATACTTACCCATACGTATGGGCATACGTATCATATCAGACAGTTTATTTCATATTAAAATCATACTTGTTATTGATTCTTTCAAATAAAAAAATATTTTATAATTTTATTAAAAATTCTGAAATATTAAATGTTAGTGTCATTTGTATTGTATCATAATGTGTTCGTCTGCAGAAGAAGTGTTCCATTATTATAAATAATTTAAAAAAATGTAAATATGACATTGACATTACAAATTCTCTTTGATCTGTGAACATGTTACAGCTATTGCATCCATTGCATAGTTATTGAATATTGATGTCTTCCGTCTGTTTTTGTTTGAGAACTGACGATAATTGCAGTACAATATGCCTAAAAACATAACTAGCGAAGTGCGAGACATAATTCTAAGAGTGAAAGAGTTCATGGATGAGGAGAAACGAATGCAGGTGCCGATAATACCTCTGAGTAAGGTATACGTAAGGGTATCTGCTGCTACAGGTATGTCGAAAAAATTAATAATATATCACACACTTACAATTTTGCTGCCTCCTAATATTTCATTAATACCTCTATATAGTATTTCAGTGACTTCTATATTCTGAACATTTTTATTACCAATCATTTAAACATTCCTCCTGTGGTCTACAATGTAATTTGTGGGTACTTGAATATTTTTATTAGGGTACTACGAGAATCCAGTATTTTATACAATAGTGTATGTATAAAAACATACACTATTGTATCAATGTATAATAATGATGGGGTTTAAATATGATAACAAATAAGTAAAATATTATTTACTATATATATATATTAGATAATAAAATTAATGATTTTTATGGTATCTTGTTTCTATTTAGAGGTAGTTTTAGATTGTTTTACTTTCATGGTTGATCTCATGTTTTCTTCACAATTTTAGTGTTAACAAAACTGCTAAAATGTTGCAACATCAACATAACTTATGTTTATGTCAACATCTCTTAAATAAAAAGAATGTGGTCAGTTTTTTTCACAGCACTGACAGTGCTTGCTCTTTATACCCAGAGATTTTAACTGCAGACGGAAACCATATCCACATGAATAGGGATATCATCAACATGTACTTTTTCCTTAGCCCATTTCTTTAGGGTAGGTGTAATGTAATATATGTCTGTTTTAGGAGTCTCTGAACGCACTGTACTAAATATAGTCAAAGAAGCAAGGCTAGTGGAACAAGGGCTTATTGATCCTGAAACTTTAAAAAAGACACCTAAAAAAAGAGTAAGGACCAAAGGTAAAATTGAAGTAGATGAATATGATTTACAAGTCATTAGAAGAAAAATACATGAATTCTACGCTTTCAAGAAAGAAGTGCCTACTATTAATAAGTTATTAGAAATTTTAAAAGAGGAAATTAACTTTAAAGGTTCTCGGGAAACCCTAAGAAAAATATTACGGAAAAATGGCTTCCAATTTAGAAAAACTAAGAATAATAAAGAGAAGGATCCCATACCGGAAGCGACATCATCAGTTCCTCCAATGGTCGCGCCATATATTCATTCAATGTTTAGTCATAAAAATATACAGTAGGAAACCATGACATTCTTGTAGAGCTTAGAGCCTATTACACTATCATATATATAGAAAATATTTACAAAGAATTCTTAGTAAATGTTACAAGAGAAAGTAACAGTGATCTCATTACACTGGAACACTATGATAGCTTAATTTTACAATGTCTCATAAAGATGAGAAATACCTACCTACCTAGTCTTAATGAGATCACTTCTTATTTTCATTCTGTATTTATTTATGAAATATATGATGATAGTTTAATAAGTGTTGTCTGAATTGAAATTTGAGACAAAAATGAATACCATTTCTAAAAGTGAACTAATGAGTGAATTTTATTGACTAGTAGTAACATTATACACATACAATCTATTTTACTTTAACACATTGTATGTGTTCAATACTACAATAATGTATTGAAAACTGTGCAATTGATATGCAATATTGATATAACTTTAATATTTATCTCTCACATTAATGTTTATTTACATTTTTGTACTCAAATTACATTTCAGATTTTAAAACATAGAATTTAGATCATCTGTAGTGATATTAGTATAATATCCTATCTTATATAATATTTCTCAATTTTATGTTCATGTTTGTTATATTCTTTTTTCTGGATTCTAGCATATCTAGTAATCTTTATACCAACCAGCAATTTTTTTATTACTAGTTCTAAATAATGACACTGTCTACAAAGGTATTATTACATGGTACAAATCTCAAGAGGGAACAATACGTAGGTATTATATGACAAAGGTAAAACCATTGTTCTTTAAATTTCTAAGAATATGAATGTGATTTTTTTAAATTATATTTTGGAAATAAGGGTAAAGATATGTATATAGTATGGAATGATGAATGATGATATGGAAGTAAATATCAAGATGACTACAAACAGGGATGAACGCAAAAGAAAAACAAACATATTACGCCAACCCCAAATAAATGGGATAAGGAAGAAGCAGATGATGGTAAATAAACAGCATTTGAGATAATTTAATTAAACTAACTTATCAATATCTAACCTGATATCATTGAAGATACTAGAATGAAGGTAGAAATAAATATTATTATTATTTGGCCTGTCAGAGTCTATAATGTCTTTCTAATGGATTAGTTGAAAATATTTTAATTCTATATTTCAATAGATGTGTGTTATGATAGTTCCACAAGGTGTAATTTCAGCCCTACCCGCACGCGGGGGTGTACTAGAGCTCAGTAAGTCAAATACGCTCGTATATCGTCCGACGTTTAATAACACCCTTTTTATATTATTGAATAAACTGTTTAATTTTTATTTTAAATATAACATAATTGTATGGTGCACAGCATACTGCTGCTTCCGCCGTTTATTTTTTTTAAATAAACGGCGGAAGCAGAATTAAAAAAGCGTACGGCCAGTTTGAAATTTGACAAAAATAGTGAATAATGTGGTTATGGTTATAGAACTTCACTATTTGCATTCATAACGCACGCGTGTTTAATGAGCTTTATACATCAAAAACCGGTGAACCAATATCTCCTTAAAGAACAAATGTCTTTGAAATTGAAAAATAATGTAACTAGTTTATGAAGGTAACATACACTTGTTAAAATAAGTCTGTGGTGTTCTAGTCGCCTATGTATTTGTATGTTTTGGGCATGGTTTTACAGCTTTACTTATGTTCCCTCTTGAAACTCTTGTCTATTTAAATTTATAAATATATTTAATAAAATCATATTTGTAACATAAAATTTAGACTGTATATTATGAAAATATATAGATTCATAATATACACTTAAGTATACTACAAGCCTATGTAAATTGTACTGTGTATATGGTTTACAGACAATTATATGTAAAAAGTATTAAAAAAAATTGAAATCTAGTTGCTGGAAACTTAAAAACATATTTAATAATTTTCCCCTTTGGAACATAAGCAAATTTTCTATTAGACTTTACAAAACCAATAGCATTTTTTTACTGTATCCTGTATACTTTCAAAGAAAAGACAGGCTTTCATTTAATAATACTGTATTTCATATTTCAATACTGTATAAATTTGTGTGAAGTGTTATAATTATGTTAGTACGAATATATATAGATTTAAGCGAGTTAGATTTGCCTTGTTTTCCCTGGCCCATCTGGTTTGTCTCATTTGATTCTGTAGGTATGTATATTATGTATACATGCTGTAAGGTACTTATGAATCTGAAAGGAACTACTATAAACTAGTGTACAGACAGATCTCTTGGTTATAATTATGTTTAGTAATGTACATTATCTTAATAGTTCCTTTAGTTTATCACAGTGTTTTATATTGTATACAAGTTATGCTCTTTATGTGTCAGTAAGACTCATTATTTTATAGATACTTATAAAAACTGATTTATGATTCTTATTTTTTAAAGTATAGAAACTGCGCCAACGCTGACTGTAGAGAGTGTGACTATATTTATTTTGTTTATTACAGAATATAGAATTCCTATATTTTAGTTTTTGATCGAGACTACATAAGAATATTGGTCTATTGTCGCTAAAGGCTGCTTTTTTATTTTAAATTATATTACAAAGAGATGATACCCTTCAAAATAGCTGAAATGTTTACAAATATAATAAGATTTAATTAGGTATATTATTAACTTTCTTCCTTTTGTGTACTTCCAAATGTATATACAAATCTACACTATGATGATATACTCATACATACCACCCTGAACTAATTGATAGTTCAGTAGACAGCTAATAAAGTTAGTTTAGATAAAATTGAACTGATTAGTTGCCATGAGTAACAGATATATGTAAATTAAATATAAAATCATGTGTACTCTGGTCCATAATATAATGAGACTGCTCATTTGAATGTAATATAGTCATTGTTTCATGCGCAAAAATCCATGGCGCTACATTAAGCAAAAGTGTTGCCACGAAATTACATCGTATAACGTAAACTGTCACTAGTGAACAAGTGATATTGAATATACTTTATATGATTCATCAGTTTTTCTTTGTAGTATATACGAATACAAGGTTTTCTAAAGATTGGTAAGTTCAATAATCCATTCGGGATTATTGTATTAATTTTTCGCGTTATTTATGATATTTTTTCATTACGGTTAATTAATTTGTACACATGCTATTCAGATCCCATCATTTTTTTTTGCATACAATCACGCCGCGGTTTTAAAATCTCTAATAATTATTATACGTTCGTATATTGCAACTACAGAACAAAACAGAAAAATTGCAGTGGAAATGGCGCTTTTATATGTGGAGACTGATATTCTGAGTCATGCATCTCATGTTCTAAGATTAAAGCTATTCTATGATAGGGCAGGATTATACTGTAAGATTAATATGGAAGTGTATTTTTGTATTTGTCACTAAAATGTGTTAGATATTAGTAGATAATAATAAGTAATAGGATCTGTTTAATACGTATTACTGTGTAGACGAAATAACACCAAAACTTTCGCTTGGTGTGGCGCCTTCGATAATTTTAATTACTATCTAAAACTGTGTATATCATGTTTGTATGAAGTAGAATATTATGTAAATATGTAGTTTGAATGTCGTCTATAAAGTATCTATTTAAATCAAAAACTCAGACGGCAATCGATGCTATTTGATATTACTTTTGTTTTAATTATTAACCGCTAGTATATGAACTACAGAACATATGTATATAGGAGATATACAGAGAATATAAGATCTATCAAATTGGCCTCCATCGTTAATGACTGACTTCAACAATATAATAACAATAAATCAAAGGAAGAGATAATGATATGTTGAGAAGATAATGTTGACGGACTGTTAGTAGTTACAGATGGTAGTATAATTTTAATAAAACTCCATTATCTGATGTTTTAGTTTTATTTGTTATAATTAACATTACCTGATAACACGAATCGGCTAATACTAATTGATTGACTTCGAATAAGCTAGCAAATATACCTATCACGTAGGTTGCGTTTTATACGACTTACAAATAATACAATTCCATGGCTTAAAAATATTACATGATACTCCATGCCTTGAATAGATTTAGGCCTAAGAATGATTAATTATGTTTAAAACATTTTATCAGCTTTAATAAACACACCTATTACAATATAATAGACAGAAAGTTCACGAATACATCTTTTTATTACATACAACTTGAAGTAGGTTACTAAAGGACAAATACGATACAGATAACAGAGCAAAACAAAATACAAAACAGAAACTATAACAGTGTATCATATAATTAATTATTCATATGACACTGATTAACTTTTCCCATAGTGCTTAGGTTAGAATACACTACAATATATTTCTACTATGGAAAAATATTATAACATAGTTTCTTAAAACATAACAATATTTCTAGGATACTATGTCTGGGTTCCACACTGTTATAAGTACCTCCTCCTTCCATTACGTTCCTACTACAATTTACCAAATAAAATGGAAAATACGAATATGCTAATAAAATAAATGAAAGTCATTTATAAAACCATACAATAGAATTTTCTCAAATAAATAAATGTCCTAATATACTACATAACAAGGTATAGTCGAGATGACTATAGTTACCCACTTTAAACAAGCGTATGGTAACAAAATATTTACTCCTTAACATTACAGCAATTTTTAATTTGCTAATATTGCTTAAAATCTCACTTTAGTTGATTTTTAAGCGATTGAGAATGAACGAATAGTTGTAAATACAACTTAGAGTAGGTGTTTTATTATAGAGTAAAATTCACAAGATAGTTAAAGACACGCAATTTTTCAAATTAAACTAAAACATAACCATATAACTTTTAGTGAAATAATTTAATGGAGTAATAAACATTTGTTATTATCCTCTCATACGCTAAAACCGATCTTTCGTAGCAAAGAAATTTTTTTTACAAATAAAGTTCAGGAGCCAATCAGTCTGCCCAGTGTACTAATTTATTAGCAAAAACATCGCAATGAAAAGGACCTAAATGAGTGATCGCGGTCATGTGACGATAGCTCAATGTTTGATGAAGGCCTATGACGAGTACTACACATATAGATAGGGGCTGAGATGATAATAATTGAATACTGGCTCACACCGAGTTACCACCAAACTGTAGTATTACTTATAGATAACAAATTACATAATAAAAGTACGATTTAATAGAGATATAAAAAATATTTGTACCTCCATTAAAAATGTACATGTATTAAATTGTTTGCCAGTCACTTGCACTAATATGATTATAGAGATGCACTAAATACAAACATATAATATTAATGCATTAAGGATAATGATTAACTGACAGATTAAATATATTCTAAGTTATAACATGATTGGAAATAGACATCTGCTGTTCTCTACATCCACATTCGTAATATTGTCATACATTATTATTATAATAATTATTAATGATAATACCCTAAATTCTTTAATATATGCTTAAGGGCCAGTAAGTTAAAAATTCAATATATATATGAAAATTAGGTAGGACAATCAAGTAACTAAACCGATTAAAAAATGTTTAAAACCTCGTAAATGTTTTTTAATAAGTATTAATAACATATCATGACACATATTATATATTTCCGACTCTTAAAATCGTTCAATGTCCTATATTTTATACCGACTAGTACAGTAGTAAACTATCAATGGCTCCTTTGGCATTATTTGTCGAATTAATTTGGATTAATGCCTTTATATATTAACAAGCTACCACCTATTCGCTGTTTATTTTTATAATTATAGGGCATAAAATAAAATGAAACTTGGTATGAAATTGACACCGTACTTATCATCTATTCATAAAAATTATAATATCCTAGAAATCCTTTTGCGTGTTTCATACTTTTCCAAAATTGGGAAATAGCTCGAAATTAGGTAGCTAACCTATTCGACAGGTAAAATAAGTATCTAGCGGTCTAGCCTCTTAAGGAGGTAGCTGCAGTCTCTGTGACACGTCACTGTCGGCTCTATAAAAATATTAGATAAAAGTCGGAAGATAAATTTCATACATTTCGCTCACCTATTACAACATTGAAATAAATAAAGAATTACAAATGCTAGAATGAAATAGGCATAAAATATTGAAATCATTTTAAAAATAAGTTAGATAGGTTATTATTATAGAGAAATTAGAATATTAAAGTATTGTACTTTGGTTATTACAATGTCGTCATTCGGATAGGGGACATGAAATGGAATTTGTGAAATATAAATTCCTTAATTATTAATACAATTTGAATATCAGATTAAAGATGTATTCTAATGATTACATTTTACTTTTCCACAACATATATATATATAAGTGATTACTATCATAGTTTATATTTATAAGGTCATGATAATAACTACCAAAGAATCGTCTTCGCGGCACAAGTCTGGCCTTAACAGAACATAATAGTACGTTGTTCATAATTATAATTTGAATGTAACACATACAGTGTTTTTGTAATGAAGAAGTCATAGGTGACTACAGCATCCTAACTAATTTAGAGAAATAACCAATATAAAATAACATCAACATAAAAATGCCAAATGTTATAATAAAAAACAATATGGTTATATCCATAGTAATACCGTTATAGTAATTACATATGAATTTCAATTATTTATGATAATTATGATTATACGAAACGCTTTAATTCATTCTACGAAGCTGAACATAATAACAAAAATTATGTATGCTTATTGAAAGTACTAAATATAATTTAAATTATTCAAATAAATACTCTAAACATTACACTTTAGTGTTGATCTAACTGTTGATTGGAGGACAATCACTAAGAGATCGTAGCCACATATAAATCTATATGTGCTACCTATAGATATAGATAGATGTAGCAACTGCACATATCGGCTATTTCGTCGTTACTATACTTACTAAACCTGACATACACAAATTCAAAGTTATGGTTAACAGTTAAATATAGTGAAAATGGAATAAGTCATATTAAGGTTGAAATGATTAGTGACGAAATTCAGTATCATATGGATAACTGGCAGCATATTCCATTAATAGAAACCTTTTTAACTTGGCTAATAGTGTTTGCATCGTCTATCTCCATCTATGACTTAGTCATATTAACATATAAATTTGAACTCTTACAAAATGTAATAACAAATTATATGCAATATGTAGAGCTATGTGTTCACAATTGTAAAATTTATTATTATTATAATTAGAAATAACTGTTGGAAAATATTCCATTATTAAACTTTAGATAAATAATTTAAATAAGTCACTATATGATATTAAATACAGTCTACAAAATAAGTTTAATTTAAGTCATTATGGTGTATAGAAATAAAGCTACCATAAATAAACGTGTTTACATCCTACATACGCTAAGTGTATGACAGAGAAGACTATATTGTGGGCGTCTATATGTAAATACTATCCATTAACACACATTTGATTAAATATATAAAAAAATTGCGTAACAACACCCTACAAGAGAACTAAAATCTTGATAGTAATGTAGTTAAACAAAAATTTTAAACATATTTATTACATGAAACCCTACATTATTTTTACTGTAATGTATTTATGTTCTTTTACTCGTAGTTCAGACTTTATGTATATATGGAGGTATGGCGATATTTATTTATAGGAAGATATTTAAATCCTAGGAAGACAAAAGGTTCTGGGGTCATTAATATAACAGTGTATAGAATCAATGTTTCAATAAAACGGTAATATCCCGAAAATTAGCCTGATATCTTAAGTGTACTGGCCACAGAACAAGTACAAAAGCAACACTGCTGAGAAAAATTTAAGTACATGAAACATATAATTTATCTGCGTTACCTCCGAATGCATGGTTATAAGCTGGCCTCGCCAAGAGACTCCGACCAATAATTAATGTATTGATGTCCCATCAATATCTGCATAGATTGTTCTAGACGTTTTCCTATATTATCAGATATACACCCACACTAATTATGAGAACTCTAAAGTAAATTTTATAACAAACAAAATATTAACCATTATTAATAACCGTTACTAAACTATTTGATAATTGTAAAGGAAAATACAGACAACACAGCATTAATTACATGTTAACATGAAACTTACAAAATAATAGTCTATAAAGGACCAAGCATGCGGCTGGTTTCCATAAACAATAACTAAATGACCGACACAATGTCTGTAAAAACATAAAACACACACAAAACGCTTGATGTAAATTATATTTATCATTTAACATTTACAATCTGACTAATAGTCTTCAACACAGCTTAATAATTAATATAATAGAATACATTATATAAATTATTATAAATATAATATAATAATTTATTAAACTTACACATGTTGAAAAAGGCATGTGTACGGAATGTGATACAATTATCAATAGACGAGTGAAATTTTAATAACTACTTTTGAGTACATTATTACACGCAGTGTGTTTATATATATTAATACATGAAATCTCTTCGCTGTATACTTCCTATGAGCAGTTAACAGCCCTCCTGAAAGGACATAATTAAACTTTAAACAAAGTGATAGACCGGTGTTTAAAAAAACATTATATGTTGTTAGATCAGCAAATAAAGATGTAATATATAGTAATTGATATTGATTTATATCCTTTGGAATATCAACACATGAGTGGTATCAAAGTGTCATTTGATAACATATAGACCATACTGTTCATCTAAATAGGCGATGATTACCACTTACCATCAGGTGAAATGTCAGCTTGGTTCCCATTCCAATTGTATAAAAAACAATACTGTGATTTTGTGACAAGCTTTTACTTACGAGATAAGAAATTGAAGCTAAAATAAAAGACTTGTGCACGGTGATGGCTGCATGTAAACACATTTAACAAAGCTCGTCTTGATCATCTGCCTTCTTTTGATGGTACACAACAGGCTCGTAAGGAGAATCCTCTTGATCTTGATATTTCTAGTAGGATAATAGAAATAATATTACGGTTACAAGTAAAGAATAGACTAGAATAGAAACATATTTGACAGTTTCGGTGGTTTAGCGGTGTAGCACACATCTTTTATTCGATGGTTGCGGGCTCGATTCCTGGCACGGTACAAACATTTATATTCATGAGTATGAATGTTTGCTATGTATATTAAGCATACATTTATAAAAATAAACTATTTAAATATTAGCAGCAGTGTCATGTCTAGTACCCATAACACAGGTTCTGCACAGCTTGGAACTAAATGGCTTTGTGTGAATCAATTACATAAAAAAAAATACTTTTAAGCAAAATCTTCTATTATTTCCAAATCTGCAATAATAAATGTCTTGTTATACCAGAAAAATTTTTGAAAATAAACTTACAGCTGCATTATTAGCGTTAGCGCTAACATAAGATGGCGCCGCGTTCTCCCTTACACTGGCTTTGGGAGCTGGGTCGATACCCTCAGGGAGGGGTATAGTGGTTGCTAGCCTGGCATACTCCACATCCATGTTCCTAATGAAGGGCGAAGCCAGCGCCCTCATGGCGGAGTCGCGATCTTCTTCATCGTAAGCTTGCAGTAGCTGTTCTATGGTCTGCATCTCGGGCACTTCACAATTGTTGCCCCATTCCTTATAAAAGAGCAGTGAGAAAGTAAATTAATACAATTTACTAACAAGTGAGTATAAAAGAATATGGGACAAACTAAAACTTATGTTTATATTTATACATGATTAACAAGAAAGGATACACTAAAATGCAAGTACATGAAAGTAAGTTAGTTATATATTACTGTGCTAGAAGCTACCCATATACTTTCTGACTAAAACTGTATATCAAGACCTTCAGACTGTTGTTACAACCATTACCTAAATTTGTAATCGGGGTAAAAAATTAGTACAATCTACATATTTTTCTTTTTCAATTCGATTGTTTTATATTTTTGTGGTATTAAAAAATGTAGGTAGTAACAGGACTCACATGCTGTCACGACAAAAGAACAATAATTGACATGGTCACTTTTCGGTATATTTCAATCCAAGAATACAAGGAAAGGCAGAAAGCACAACATAAAATAAAATATGTCTATTCAAAGTAAATATTAAATATATTTTATTAAATATTATTCATATTTTACGAGTTTTTGATCGTAATTCGGGATAATACTCCACTGGACTACGACGGTCCTATATAGGTAGTATTAGGTAAAAAATATGAATACTTTATAAGCTTTCTCCGCAGCGACAGCATCTCCTCTTGCCAGCTGAACCAGCACTATGGCGACAGTCAACCTGCCAACGGCGCCTGTGTTACCAGCTTCCTGATGGAAGCCGATCTCTCGACGCAGACTGTCCACTGCCTGATCATACCTGATACATATAACTTTTAATTAGAATACTTATAGATGCATCTTTGTAATATTATATTGTATATAATATAAATAACTATAATTATATATATGCTTAAATGAAAAACTTAATTGAATTACATTTTAAATTGTGTATATAATATCAGATTATGACGTCACAAATAACAATTTTAAATAAAAATTGAAGTATAGCAAGTAATTGTTATATATATTTATTAATTTTAATATAGCATATTTTATTTGAATGATCCTTTGACTAAAATCTGACGGTAACTATTAATAGCATGAAAATATATATCTTACATTTGAAGTTTCACAAGAATCCTGGATGCCTTGCTGATGTATTCCGAGCCTTGATGCTGACTGCTCTCGGTCTACACATTGCAATAGTTATATAATAATAAGAATATAATACATATTTATACACGTATTTTATTTTAATCGGTTAATTTCTAAGTAATAGATTATTTCTGCTTCATAGAAAACATTTATTTTAATTTATACAACATACCTTAACTATTTTACTTTAATGGCGTATCAAAGGGCATTCTTTAGAATTTTACTTATACCACTGAGGCAAATATAATAAGCTCATTGTATAAGTGATGTCGATACACCAGCAAGATTTCTTAAAAAATAAGATCAATCGGATTATAACTTAACTATATAAAATGTCATCTTTACATAGAAGCAAGTTTATATAAGCTTGTGTCAACTTTTGACGATGATGCACAAGTATTAATAAAACTAGTTTATTTCAAACAAATTATATACTCACAGAAGATACATCTGCCGCCTGCTGGAACAATTTATATGCAAGCTGTGGGGAATTTTCCTCTAAGATCTTAGCCGCTTTGTCAAGAACGCTGGCGCCGGAGTCACCTGAGCCATGCTGTTGGTACAAACTAGAAGATTCCACTGCTAACGAGTACAACTGTAAAAACAACAATGCTAATAGATAACACATAATTTATTGTAATAGAAATCACTTTACATGTAAGTGATTTCTATTACAATAAATTATAAAATAAACAATATGTCATATTTAAACCAATATTTGGTAAAATTATAGTCAAATTCAAAGTCTTTTCCCTTAGGTGCCAAATTAAAATAAAATAAATGTGAATGATATGTAAATATTTCACATATGGTCATATAAGTTCTGGATCTTAATTTGGACATACAAAACTCAAATGAAATACTTACATCATCAGGACTGGCTGTTTCTTTACAGACAATGATAGCATTCTCCAGCGCCTTTGCCGCATGGAAGAATGACCGATTTTTCTTATAGAACTCTGAAGCTTTCAAGTGGCACTCTTTGGACTTGTTCAAATCGCGGGCTATGCGGTAACATTGCGCTAAAACAATTTTATAAAAATTAATTACAATCAACACATATATTATAATAAAGTGGCAGTAGTAATGGTAATCAATGATTACCAATAAAACCTAAATAGAATAAGCATAACCTCATAATAATTATAATGACAATAATAGGCCATTTAAGGAGTAGGACTATAAACAACCTGTATACAATAGGATCTACAGACAGTCCACTATATCAGGCTGTTTCAAAGCAGAAAAAACAACCACTCATGTAATCCTGGAGAGCATCAAGTTATTTGTATCACTGTGTAGTGACTATTTTCAATAAAGCTACTATATAAAACCAAGTGTATCAGTGTGCACCATTTAATATTTAAACATATGAAATACTACTCACCTGCTTGGCTGTATTCATCTGCAGCAGAATCATAGTCAGGTTTCCATTTCAGTAAAGATGTTTTCAAGCTGAGAAATAACAATACAATAAATATACAAATTATAATAAATCATGTCACAAAAACATAAAAAACATTACATACATATTTATATTATCTTTTCTTACTTGAGTTTGAGTATAAAACATAGGATTAGATAGTTAAAATAAGTGTATTGGAATGAGGAAGAGATATACTGAATAATTTTGAATACATATACTATGTGCGGTATAATATCCCTACATTATAGTGGGGTACCATCCACATATAAAAATATAATACTAATGATGGAACAAAGTCCAAATAATTTAATCATGAAGGATACACATAAATTCAAGCCTTTATTTACTAAACTGTACATTTTTAATTCTGTTATTTTAACTGCAGAATAACTATGTGTAGCAATAAAAACTCTTAGCAATAAAACATGTTATGTGTGCATTTGAAATGAGAACTAACTATTATGGAAGATGCTAAAAACCCTCCAATACTTTTGTATAGTGTAGCAAATAAAATAAAGTTATAAGTTGATAAAAATTATTTAAATAAATCATGTTTTTCTAATAAAGAACTTATTGTTTAACTAATATATGTAGCATACAAAACTCATTCTCAATGTAAATAGCATTGTTGTTGAATTTGTGTAGTTCACAAGTGGAAAGCCAACAAAGTAGGATGTCTCTAATGGAAAATAAATGTTAAAGTACCTGATTAACACATCAAAATCAGATTTAAATTAAATTTTGTATTAATTCCCATAATTATTATATTAATTCCCATAATTTCCATTTAGAAGCTTATTGTGATGCAGATTATGCAAATCTTCCAAATACCAGAAAGATCACATGAGGCTACATATACTATATCTACCTAGAAGTCCTATTACTGTCTTCAAGGCAACAGTCCATAGTTAATAGTGAAGTTAGTTACCTAGCTAACTAATTTAAACTATTATATACTCTCTTTTTTAATTTTGTAATCTTGTGGTTATATAAATACAGCATTACTATTGATATTATATAGTCGCCATATATTTTTTTAATCATTTTAATTCAGTGAGCAAGTAGTATAATAATATAATTTATTAAGTTAGTATATTTAAAATAATAGGTTTAGTGGTCATTCTGTGTCAAATGCTTAAACATATGCAAATATAATACAATTAATGAGGTATAATGAACATAGTGGTGCATTTATAACTATATTTTTGTCTATACAATTCTATCAACATAAACATATATTGAAATATTAAAATGCGTCTGATGTCATGCATGTTTCTCTGATTAAATTATCCTATAAAATCTAGCTCAAAATTACCCTTATATCTTCCTATGCAACACCTATTGTGTTAATTATTTTGAGAGAAAACAAAGACATGTGGTATAAGTATTTTCTTTATTTTTAATTACATTGACTTCAACTATCATACAATAAAAAACTTATTTACAGTTAAATTATTTGTTTTGTTTGTTAATAAAAACTCCATTATCCAAAAATTTTATATACGGAATAATACAAGGACTTAACAGTGAGATTTGGGTCACTGCATACAAATCGGTACAGAAAAAAGTAATCAGAACAAAACCGAGACTCTTGACCTACCCTGGCAATTGTTAAAATTTGCTCTTATGTGAAGGCACAACATTTATGATCGTTATTATGATGATGTGCTAATTTTAATTTTGATAATGAACTATCTAGACACTTACAATTTCTCAGCGGCTTTACAGTGTTCTTGGGCTTCATGAAGTTTGGCAGACATGGTAAATTGTAACTACAACTATTAGCCTGATATTTAAGATATGAATAGAGATTTTGATTTCACTTCTTATACTTTTTAGTTTGAAAAATCAATATGGGTTCAATAGAAAAAACAACTATTAGACTACTCGACACACTGTCAAGTATGACATTGACATCTGTTTAATTGGTTGTCTTGTCACTTGTTTCTGTGTTACCAGGATTTACTGTAGTTGCTTGTCCATAACCCAAACATAAAAAAATTCAGTGATACAATAACATAATACAAAAATACAATAATAAATATGTTTGTTAGTCTGAAATCTCACTCTTTCATCCCATTTTCTATCCGTGCCTAAATGCTTGAACTAACTGAATCATTAAACGTGTAACGTTATTCTTCCAAAACGTCTTAACCGATCGAGACCAAAATTTCATCGAGGATCGACCTTGGGGCCATCGCTATCCAAAAAAAATCCGATCGGTCATGTCCTTGAGAAATAGTTGGTGAAAAAGGTGATATAAACTTAGCATGCCGAAAGGAAATTATATGCTACTGAAATAATTGAATTTCTCAACATATAACCTGGTGTGTACTACACCAACCAACAACACACGTGTAACAAACCTAGTTTATGTATGTTACAAAATTTCAAAGTTTGTCACACACAGTTTTAAGGTTAATTTAACTAAGTATAGGAGTAATTCCAAAACCCGTGGAAGAATTTATGAACTGAGTGCCAACTCCTACCTGCCGGATACAACTTTAGCCTTAGAAGTGTAGTTTCGTAGCGTTGTCATTTTTGTAGCGTATTTTATCAATTTATCTTTGCAATTAACTTTATTCATACTAATATAATTTTAAAGGTATTATTATGCCTGTAGAAACCATTAAATATAAAACTTTTATAAATAAACGACATAATTAATACATGGTAGGTATTTCAAATATTAAATTCCTAAAATAATTTGCATTTCTACCTGGTTATTTATACAACACGTAAAATAAAAGAGTGAACGGTAAAAAATTATAACTCACAAGATAAATGAGTCTTGTGAGTTATAATCTAACTAGCTGTATCCGCGACTTCGTCCTCGTAAAATAGTGACTTTAACCAAATAATGAAAAAAATATTCTAATGACCTAACCCAATAAAAACCAAATGAAAAAGTTTCATCGTTTTAGCTTCAAAAATGAAGACACTTCCATACAATCTTTCATAACTCTTTCAACCCCTTATAACTGAGGGGATTGTTAGTAATGTGGATTGATAACCCCATTGCTAGCAATGTACCATGTCAGGTCGACCTCCACGCGGTTCCCCCTGGAAACCGTCGTGTTAAATTCCTGATAAATTTGTCACGATGGGCTAACTGACCTGACCTCATGCTCATCTTATCATCCTCGACTGGTGCCCCGCCAGCGTAAACCGTTAGCGCAGGCGGATGCACCATTCCATTATCATCCACAAAAAAAACCCCTTATAACTCTTTTTCTTAATATATATTTAATAAATAGGCTAAAAATTAAACTTCAACCCTAATTTATTTATTAACCCCTTAAGGGTAATATTTTTATAAAACTTTGTATGTCATATTCATTTATATTTAATTAAGAGTCTCAAAAACAAGTTTCAAGCTTCTAGCTTTAATATTACATACTTCTAGCTTTAAAAATGACGATTCTTCCATACAATCTTTCATCCCCAATTTCAATCTCCCAATCCTTTTTTCGCATTAAAAAGTATGTCTTATTATTAAGTATAACTATTAAAGCCTATGTCCTTTCCCAGGGTCTAGACTATCTGTGTACCCAATTTCATTTAAATCGGTTCAGTAGTTTTGGCGTAAGCGAGACAGACAGACAGATTTACTTTCGCATTTATAATATTAGTAAGGATAATCTAATAACTATATACCTAATTAGTTTGTGAAAATTTGGAGCAAAATAACGAATGACATTATAGATAAATTGTATGTCGATAGTCGTAAAGGTATGTAGTACATGATACGCAACTATGTTTATATAAGTCAAATCAAAAATCATTTATTATTTTTACCCACTTATGAACGTCAAGTTTTTATAATAATTTTCCCCTACCGTTTAGTTCAATATACAGATAACTGCCAAAAGAGTTCTGTTTTTTTTTTGTTATGTTGTGGGTATATTTATAATTGTTATTATATAGGGTAGTATTACACCGTGTTAGTTCATAAGTAAACGTCAACGTTGGTTAAAAATCAGTAATTTATTCAACAGTGGCGACGAGGATGAATTTATATTTTTGAAGTAAATTGGTGTTAATACATAGTGTTAGTTTTTACATTCATAAGAATATAGAGTGAAAAAATAAGTGAGTTTGATGTTGTGTATAGGAACTAGTGGTATTATTATGTTGATGACACTGGCACATCACTACTCACTCGATCGCCGCTTTTATATGAAAAATATGTATTGTACGTTCATAATATTATATTAACTAAATAAACTATTTATACAAAACAAGTCGTTTCCATCGATTAAGCATATTATAATATGACCGAATTGAAATGTACTTTTTAGTTAACGGAACCACTATGACCAGTCGCAGCGGCTAGTGCTGTCGATCTCGGCCAGCTCACGCGGGCTCCGAGCAGTGCTGACGCAGCGCGATGCCAGAGGGCATGAGCGGCCCGTCGCGTACACCTCACAGGCTCTCACGGCCGCGGAAATCAATTGTAGCCAGATTCGGTCGTGAGTTTTTAGTCGTGAGTCTACTTAGTATTTTTAGTCCAGGCGGGAACATACCGAGGATGACGGCCAGCCGTTTACAAAGATGGGCATTAATTATATATGCTGCTTGTAATTTTAGTATTGAATACACACAAATCACCATACGGCGGACACATTGTCGAGAATGATAGCCGCGTACAGATAATGTTTTTTTATAACTACTCTAATGCTGTTGGAACCGGCGGAAGGACATATGATGCGTCTGGGCACCGCTAGGGGTTCGAACCTCTACTCAGGCCGTCGTATTTTCGATCCCTGGTCGGTAATATCGATCGGATAGGCAACCAGAGGCACCGGTGTGGAGTGCCCAAGCGCCTGATTTATTGCGCGGTATGGTATGGTGTGGCCTGTCGTCCTCGCCGATGAAGACGGTGTAGTGTGTGTGTGAAAGTGTTGTCGGGACTGAACGGGTGGACCCGTAGGGATATTACATAACTACCGTTTGGGGTCGTCGGAATCAAAAAGTCGGATTTGTCTCCTTACTGACGATAAATGTGTTCGGGTGAGATTGGACGTAAAGGAAGTAGCTTCGAGACGCTTCCTTTATTATGAACTTCATCGAGTAACCAGAGCAGACATTTTTACTTGTTTCGTCGGTTGCACTTTTATTAGATTATTATATTTTATAGAAGGAAACAAGTTTATTTCAATAGATAGTTTATTTTGCATTGTATACTTGTATCTCTGTCTAACTTCAGATAAAAATATTGTGTATGAACAACTATGGAATAACATGCACGTTTGTTATTTAAGTAATCGTTTACTGAGTGGCTTTGCTTAATAAATATGATTTAACAGATGTATATACAGTACTAACTAACATAATTAGAGTAGCCCGAAAAAAATATACAACGTTCCTTGAGTACATCTATCTAAAATCAATACCTAGTGGCGTCTATTTAGTTTGTGAAAATCAATATCACTATATTCTAGCACCTGCGCGGTTGTTGGTGTAGTCTATTTTTTAATCTCGGAGACAAATTTGATATTACCGATGTTGCCAAGTATCTGTATTTTTTAAATAGGGTTGTAGCATTATCGGGAAGTAACATTAATTACTCATTTCTATAGGTTATTCCGAAATAATGTGTGGGTGTTTATTTAACGCATATTATAGTTTTGTGATAATGCGTTAAATAAACACCACACACATATTTTTTACTTAAATAAAGACTAATTTTATTTTTTTTATAAAACAATGATCTTATAGTGTCATACATCAGAAAAGATACAGTTATATAAAATGTAGCTTAATACTCTAAAAAATAGTATTTGTACAGAAACGACAAATATGTATTTTTCTGTGAAAACACAGTATATGTACGTGAATTATAAAAAACTGTTGTGGCAAAGTCTTTTAAATCAATAAAACTGATATGTTAAAATGTTATAAAGCTTGTTTAATCGGAAACTTTTTCCGATTAAACAAGTCGGTATTGTAATGGTATAGCACTACCCAGTTATAGATGGTAACATTAGTTGAAAATTTGACATTTGCTTCGCTCAATAAATTTAGTCGCCGGGTTTAAAAAATAGATTAGATATACCTATATTACTGTATTTGGTTTTATGAAGAACATCAAATCTTGATTTTCAATTAATAGAGACTTATAACCTGACAAGTAATCGCATTTGCATTTTTATCTTAGTAAAGAAATAATGGATGCCTTATGGAATATGATGGAAGAAATTTGTGCTAAGAGATTTGATAAAGGCTCAATTCATTGGGTTGATGTCACGTATATCGAAGATCCTTTCAACTTTTATGTCCGGCCTACCTCTTATAGGAAGTACCTGCAGGAATTGGAGGCTTATAAACCGCATTCAATAGATCAAACAGAAGCGGTATTGGGCACGACTGTTATTTATAAATCAAAAGTAATAAAAAGTTTTATTCGAGGAAAAATATTAAGCATAGAACCGAGCAATACATTTGAAATACAATCGCTGGATTTTGGTTGTGTAGACAAATCTGTACCATTGACTGAGATGTTTAAACCTTTGTTCAATTCCAATCATGTAGGAGCCTCGGTTTTATCCTGCAAATTGGCCTACTGTTATCCAATTGGCGGAGTTTGGAATAAGCAATCTATTGACGCTATGAAAGACTATGTTGGTGAGGAGAGAGCTCAAATAAAGATTATGGAAAATAACCGAGACAAATATGTTGTGGAGCTAGTGAACTCCTGTCCTGATGATATTGCTATGATGCTCATAAAAACTGATTATGCAAGTTTTGGATTTGATGTACAGAAAGTTAGCCCACTGACAAGCAACGCTGATTATGGACGTTTCGGATTAAATATACAGAAAGCTAACCCACAAACAAGCAAAACTGATTAGGCTACTTTTGGATTTGATGCGCAGAAAGTTAGTCCACCAACAAGCAAAACTGATAATGCCAGTTTTGGATTTGATGTACAGAAAGTTAATCCGTTGAAAAGTAAATCTGATTATGCAAGTTTTAGATTTGATACAAAGGAAGTTAACTTGCTGACAAACAAAACTGATAATACTTGTTTTGGATTTGATGTACAGAAAGTTAACCCGTTGATGAGCAAATCTGATTATGCAAGTTTTAGATTTGATGTAAAGAAAGTTAACCTGCTAACAAGCAAAACTGATAATGCCTGTTTTGGTTTTGATCTACAAAAAGTTGAAGGGAAACAAAGAAAGAAATAAACTTACATTGACATGTGACAGCTGTAGCAGTGTTGACTGGTTTTTTTTTTTTTATGGGTGATTATGGAACGGTGTACCCGCTTGCGCTAACGGTTTACGCTGGCGGGGCACCAGTGGAGGATGATAGAATGAACATGAGGTCAGGTCAGTTAGCCCATCGTAACAAATTCACCAGGAATTCATCACTATGGTTTCCAGGGGGAACCGCATGGAGGTCAACCTGACATGGTACATTGCTAGTAATGAGGTCATGAATCCACATTACTACCAATCACCTTCCCCCCAGTGTTGACTGGTAATGGGTGTTACATTGAGTATGGCATATTAAAAGGCCTGGCAAGATCAGAACAGTAGTATCTGGTGCATTTCAAAATTTCAAGCCAATAAATACATATTTGGTCTTTTTAAGGGATATGGATTTATATATATTTATAGATATACTTTTAATAATATATAATAATTTAGTAAAAGTTAGAGAGGGACATAATACACCCATTTTTGAAAAAAAATATTCACTAAGCCCTTTTGTACCTAAGTGATATTCTTACTCCTTTCTACTTTTTTAATGTTGTACTGAAAAATATTACTGTATTCTTAGCATAAGTTTATATGAGATAATGAAATGACATGTTATTAACCTATTATTACTCATATATCATTGTAATGGATAGCATAAAAACTCATATCAAATGTGGTTTACATTCAGTATAAAAATAGCAAATAAAAATATATAATATGTACTTAAAGGAATAATAAAGGATAAAACCAAATAGAAATAGTTTTATTAATCATATTCTTAGTTTCATTATATATAGCATATAATTATACATATATATTAGAGCATACAATTAAGAGTTCTGAAGCTTGCTTATCTTGTTTTTAAAGTTTAATTTTATAATAAACAAATATATAGATAGCTGTACTTCTGTCATTTTTCAAAAGAATTATCAATAAATCTATTGTCATGAGAAATAAACCAGATGGTGCTTTGTGATATGTACAGCATTCAAATCAATAAAATTGGTTTAGGCATTGGGTATATATTGTTTGTTATTTATAAATAATTATGTTCATTATTATGCTGTGATATTATATATGGAATTATGGCAAATTAATAAAAAAATGTTTATGTATGCAGGATATTTTAGTGCCTCATGAAAGTCAGTTCAGTCTATAGTTGCAATTGAGAAGTACTGGCAACAAATGATTTTTTTTTTTAAAGTCAGTCTTTTAAGTAGTTGTTTAGTGAGTAATGAGGCTTTGATCAATAAATATAGTTTAACAGAAGTATTAAAGAATTTCTGGTTAAGCATATATCTGCACTAGAGTTGATACAAGGAATTTTACCACATTAGTTCATCGTCTAGAACAACTACACAATTAGTTTCATGTCCCCAACAACCTTTAACAGGAGCATTTATCTTCTCAGCATCTACGGAAGACATCTTTATGAAATTTAAACTGTACAAAACGTACCAATGTTTAATAGTGTTCTTATAGTATATTTACTTTTTTTTTGCAATGGGACTAAAGGTTTTTTATAATCAATTCCTTTCTTTTGAGAGAAGCCAACAGCAACATGCCTAGCTTCCTATTTGTTAGTAGTCGTAACCAAATTTCGCTTGTAAAAATTTTATAAACCCATTTACTGTATATGGTGTTACGTCTATGTTCTAGGTTTGATTCTCTTTCAGCGAGTTAATTTCATGATTTCTTCATTTGTCTTTATCAGCAGATTTTAAAAGACGATATTTCTTCATCATTCATTCGGTTCATTCGGTCCAGAATGAAAGCTCCTGCGATATTTGAAGAATTTATTTTACATTTTCAACACAGTGTAAAACAAATTCTTGAAATCTCGCAGGAGCTTTCGATCTTGATCAATCTCTTAGAATCATTTACTCTTGGTCTTGAGGATTTTAATAACGAACTTCTTCAGATATCTGAAAGCAAAAATAATTGGTTTGAAGTTTAATACCGTAGAAATAAAAGGTAATGTTTTCTTCTCAGTTTCGGTAACATGTGGATATTAAGTAGAAAGCATTAAAAATAATCATATAACATAAAAAATTACGATTCAACAAATCAATACAGCATTACACCACTACAGATGATAACATTAATTGAAAATGTTACATTTATTCTTGTCATATTTAATCTCTGAGACGAAAAAACAGAGTGACCATTGCATTTTCGTCTGCGTCAGATTTCCCCCGTTTTATACTCCATATGTTATTGCAGCATCCTATTAGTCGCAGAGCAACGTTATATAGCCTTTACTCATCTTATAATCCTCTAATGGTGCCCCGCTAGCGTATACCGTTAGCACAGGCGGGTGCACCATTTCATAATTATATCGCTACAAATAATTAACTAACATTAGTATTTACGAAACAAAAATATCTATGTACTTGTATCAGTTATCTAGTACCCGTAACAAAAGCTTTAGCTAGCTTAACTTGGGACTAGATGGCGCTGTATGAATTGTACTGAGATTATTATTATAAACGTTATACATATAGCCTGTGATCGTTCCCGACAAATGGACTATCCAACTCCCTGCATATACTCTCACTAACTTTATCTCTTTTAAATAGTAGTAGATTTATTTAAATTGATATTTTTTTGTTTCTATTGCGTATTATTTATATTTTTAGTTTTTTATATGTTCTCAATTTAAATTTTCGCACAAACACTCACACACACACACATCATCTGTTATCCTGGATGGAACGCAAGTCTTGACATGCCGACATTTCGCTTGGTATATTTAAAACCAACGCGATAGGACGCGAATCTACCGGCGTCACTCGGATTAATTTTTATTTATTTTTGCTTCCTTCACCAGATAGTTAGTAATATATAATAGACACGCATTTTTTTTTCTATGTAATTGCATTTTTTATAGATGATGTTTACATCGGTTTATGTTTTCCAAATGTATATTATTTACTTGGAACTGTTTAACTTTTTAATACAATTTATGTTTTCATGTTTTTATTACCGTCAAACTCAATTAATTTTTATTATGGAGTAGCCGGCATCTGTTTTCTTGTAAGATGATGATGATGATCCTGTCATTTCACTGCCTAATCTATACCTACCGTACAACTGAAACATTGCTCATAAAGTAAGATGTTGGACGGCTGAAATAAGCGAGACTGGGTACCTAAGCAGACGACTATTTTCAGTTCACCCAATGAGTTAATCAATTAATTATTAAACAGACGTAGCAACGGCTAAACTTATTTGCATCAGCTATTTTCATAGAATTATGCCATACGGTATTTTGTTATGGTGCTGATATAAATACAATATTCATTTGGCAAAAGATAATATTATTATATATATAAAATACTTGCTGTTTCCGCGACTTCGTCCGCGTGGAATTTAACTTTATTTTCTAAAATAAAAGTAGCCTAAGTTGCTCCTTATTACATCAGCTACCTGCCAAAAATAAGTCCCGTCAAAATCGGTCCAGCCATTTCAGAGATTAGCCGGATCAAACAGACCAACAGACAGACAGACAAAAATTGCAAAAAATGATATTTTGGTGTATGTACTGTATTTATATTCATACGCATGTAGTAAAAAAGTATCGATCTCAGTGTGTTCTATGTGTAATATGTATGTATTTACGGAAAAAATATACGTCTATGTATTTGTATCAGTTATCTAATACCCATAACACAAGCTTGAGCTAGCTTAACTTGGGTCTATATAGCGCTATGTGAATTGTTAAAAAAAACCATTAACCAGAAGGAGGCATGGAACAATCAACATAAAAATTGCACGCACGCATACATTGTGTAATCAAATAAAATTGTCAGCACCATGAGTTTTATGATGCTATAAATAGAGCGAAAGTAATGTAATATATAATCTATACATATACATAAAATTGCAGTGTCTGTTTGTAATATTGAAATAACCGTTTTTTACTACATGATTATGCATAATACGGTACATACACCAAAATAACATATTTTACAATTATTATATGTCTGTCTCGGCTAATTTCTGAAATGACTGGACCAATTTTAACAGGACTTTTTTGGCAAGTAGCTAATGTAATAAGGAGTAACTTAGACTAGTTTTATTTTAGAAAAATAAAGTAAAATTCCACGCGGACGAAGTCACAAGTACAGCTAGTTGAGAATAAGTATTACCACAGATAACATAATATTACATAGTATTACACAAACGCCTTCTAGTGAGATGTGGGTGCGTCTGCTAAATTACAAATGTAAATCAATCACGGCCATTCAGTACTGGGGGTGCCGTAAACCGAGGACGACCCGCGCAGGTGTTGCAACGGTAAATGGTAATAACTACGTAATAATAATAGCGAACATTATCGTGAGATTGCGCGCGCACCCCTATCGCCTGTAGCGCGGCTGCGCCCGCGCCGCTCCCGCGCAGTGGTTGTAAAGGCGGAATGTAACGGTTCTGTCCCCCTGTTAGACTAAAGACAATCTTAAATAAAAAACCGGTCAAGTACTTACGACGCACACTCCGGTACCTAGATGTTATATAGGTATATAGTGTTCCAGGCGTTCAGAGGCTACGAATACCGTTTACAAATGGGTTGTCTGCTTGATTGTTACCATTGTACATAGTATAATACTGGTAATTATATTACAAAAGAGAATGTTTGTGAGTATGGATGGATGTTTCTTACTATTTCACGCAAAAACTACTGCACGCTGGGTTGTTGATGAAATTCTACAGTAATATGACACTAAAATATCTATTTAACAATAATAAATTTATTTATATAGATTTACGATATATAGATTTAGATTTCCATATTTACTACTTTACTACAATAAAAAAAATAATATAGCTTATACATTATACTTTAAAAAGATATTATTACAATTGGGCGAAATAAACAAAATGTCAAGTGCAGCACACAGACGAAGTTCTGCGAGTCAGCATTATAAACTACAAATAATTTCGTTTTTGTTATAGATATATAGTTATTACCTACATACATATAATATACATAG